AATTAGTGATAAAAACGAGTTGGAATTTTTGTGATCTGGAGCTGTTAGGAAACAGATGTTCATCCACGCAAAATGTTCAGTAAAATTCAGGATTGTAATTGCAGTGCAGAAAGGAAGATCCAGAAAACTGAAGAGAGGTAGCAAAATGGAACTTAATTACTGCCAAGAAAGAGGAAGAGTTACATACTTCTAGCAGAACAACTTGGATAACATAATTACTTCAAAGTTCAAACCCTCAAAATTCAAAGTAAAAAAAGAAAAACACCAGAAACAAATAACTTCCCTTAATTAATTTCTTTCATCATATAGTCACAATCTGCCATCTCTCTCTCTCTCTCTCTCTCTTCCCCTTTCCCAAAAGCTGGTAGCTTTAATCGTACCCATTAGAAGATTAGCTTGCAGAAGGTGAGCTTTCCCCTGAAGAATTGGTGTCACAGTTTGCTGCTGATCCTCCTGATGAACATGCTTGATTAGATCTGCCCCCAATCCCAAAGATACCGGCTTTGATAAGACCTCTTCTTGGTGGGAAATTCGTCAAGTCTCTCCCTTTTCCTTTCCTCTTCACTGGGTTGCTGCTGCTGTCTTTGTTTTCCATTTTTTTTTCCTCAGTTGAATTATGGTGGAAAAGAATGAAATTGAGAGAGAAGAGAGGAATCGCAGAGGGCCAGATGGTAAAGTGAAGTAGAGAGGTCTCTACTGTCCTCTGTATATATAGAGACGATGTGTGATATCTACACATCTCTTTTTTCTCCTCTTACAAATTTTTAATTTTTGACCATCAGATCAGATAAATTGAAGAATATCAAATAACATAAATTAACAAGATATGAAAGAAATAAAAATAGGTATAGATAACACACCTATAGAGATATTTTGGGCCCATGATTGGCTTAGTGTCGCATGCAGATGATATATATATATATATATTTAGTATGTTTATTTATGAGGAATGAAGGAATCAGTGTATATCACTTTTATTTTGCGTTTAAAAACACATAATATATTATACATATACTAAAACTCAAACTCAATATATTATCTATTATATATAAAGCCAGAGCCCTACTTTGGGGTCATGGCTTCGACAAAATATTTGGACCAAATTGCTCCTTAACCAAAAAAATTCAAGAGTAGCCCATTATAATATAATCAAAGGAGAAATTAGGTTTTCATCCATCTTTTTGCTACTTCATTGATTAAAATCTCATTCATTTTCAATTTTTGATCAAGGTCCTTGGATATTAATAACATAATTAATTATTTCAATAATACAATATTTTTAAATATATTCCTTTAGTGTTAAAAATGTTACAATTAGTATATTTATATTTATGGCTAAATTTGTTATCATATATTTTTATTTTTAGTTTGTACCCATTTTGAATTTGCAAACCTTTTTTAATTTGTACCAATTTTCGTTTTCAGTTTTAATTTGTACCCATATATTTTTTTTTGTCCCCATATTTTTTTATTTTTTTATTTGTGCCCATGTGTTTACCGTCATATGACATTGTATAATTAATCAATGATAGAAAAATTACATATATTATATTTATGTTTTATAGCTAAACTTTGTATCATGTATTTATATTTTTAGTTTGTACCCACTTTTAATTTGCAACCACTTTTAATTTGCAACCTTTTTTAAAATTTGTTGTATTTGTTTTTTAGTTTTAATTTATACCCATGTATTAATTTCTTTATACGCCCATATTTTTTAAAATTTCATTTGTACTCATAATTTTTTAATCTTTTATTTGTACCATAATTTATTTATAATGTACCTATTCTTCTTATTAATGTACCACTTTGTTATATGTCAAATGTACCAATTTTTTTAACACTACAGATACATTCTTTTGCCATTTATTATTTTTTATTGTTACATAGTTTTTATCCATTTATTCAATCAAAATGTTTGAATTTTTTTATTGTAGCCGTTTCTAACAGTATTATAATGAGGGATTTTAAATTTATAGGATTATAAATCTCATAAAATATCAAACAATTAATGTCTAAACTATAAAAATATAAATATTAATAGTAATATAATGAGGTGTACAAAGTCAAGGGACTTTGATCAAACTTTGAACACAATTAAGGTTTTAGTAAAAAAATGTTAGGAATTAGGGACCGCATCCAAAGTATCCCTATATCAAATAATGTGGGGGTAATTTGGTAATTTGGTCATTATAAAATATAATATAAATATAAGTGGGATGAGAGAAAAGAACAAAAAAATGGAAGGATGAGTGAAAGTTGATGGTGCCCACGTGAAGGGGAAAGAAAAATTATGAATATTGTGTTCAAAACATCTTAAGAGGCACGTAGTGCGGGTGATAAATTAGTAAAAAAAATTTTAATTTTTTAATTTTATAAATTTGTATCTTACAATAGGCTAGTAATAATGTGATTCAATCAGATGTTGTGAATAGTAATTTTGGTGTCACCAAGCCGTCGAAAACATCTTAAGAGGTGTGTAATACCGGTTATAAAAAAAGTCTTCCGCATGTTGATAATAATGTGATTAAATTAGTTGTTAAATGATTGTTTATTTCTATTTATAACAAACGATATTATCTATACTAAGGAGGATGGTGATGAGCTTAGCCTCACAATGGGCTAGCAATAATGTGATTTAATTAGTTGTTTATTCAATATTATTTTCTCTATTTTTAAACACGTTCAAAACATCTTAAGAGGCGTATAATGCCGGTTATAAAAAAGGTCTTTCGCACACGGATAATAATGTGATTAAATTAGTTGTCAAATAAATTTTTTTTTAACAAATGATATTATCTACACTAAGGGGGAGGAGGTGGGTTTAGCCTCACAATGGGCTAGCAATAATGTGTTTCAATCAATTGTTCATTAAATATTATTTTCTCTATTCTTATTGTAAATTCTATAGAGACCAATTTTATTATGTGAATTCAACTGTTTTAATTGGTTTACGAGGGGTTTCTTCTACCATGATCTAAGATTATTCATTTACTTCAAATATTTGACTTTCTTTTTGTCAGTTTACGCATATAAATACATTTAAAACGTGTAAGTCGCGCGTAGCACGCAGCGATTTAAAAAATGCCTTTTGCACGCGCTCATGTGCGTGCATGAAGGCTAGTACATATGCTAAAACTCAAACTCAAGTGCACTGTTCATGGGCAGTGTGTGGACGAAAATGCCTCTCAATTTGTTTGTTAAGCCAAATTTTTGCCATCTTTTCCACAGTAAAAGGACGGCCCTGCCCTCGAAGGCCACACATTGTTTCTTTCCTGTTTCAATTTCTTTGGATGCTTCGGTGCTCTTTCTTCTTTTCTTTATGGTTGTTGCCGTTCTCACCCATTTTGGGATTAGCTTTCTTTATCTCTCAAACCCTAATTTTTCTCCCTTTCTGATCTCATCTATTTTCGCTCGCGCCAATCAGTCAAACTGTAAAAATTTCATCCATTTGCCGTCGTCACCTCTCTCCGCTTGCGCCGATCAGTTGAACTGTAAAAATTTCGTCTGTGTGCCATCGTTGTTCATATTATGCGGTTTAAAAACAAATAATATATAATTACTAAGAGATGTTGCTCATCTCATCTACGATCAACTACATGTCATTCTCATACCAGATAAAGTGAGTAAGCTGTCAATCAGAGACTGGCTGAGCCATATGATTACATTTAGGGGTGGTTTGGGAGTGAGGTGCTTAAAAAAAAAGCACCCATGAAAAAAAGCTGTGAGGGTTTTAGGTGTTTGGTAAACTAATAAAAAAGGGGCTTATTTTGGAAACTGCTGTGAGAATAAGCTGAAATAAAAGGAAAAGCTGAAGCAGCTATTTGCAGCTTTGGAAAACTGGTTTTTTTAAAGCACACGGAGCTACAGTGCTCTTTTAATGAAAACATCCATTATCAGACTGCTTTTTTTTCTTTCCAAAAGCACTTTTACAAAAATGTTTACCAAACACTCTGCTGATTTATTTCACAGCCGTTTATTCTTACAACACAGCCGCTTATTCTCACAGCAGTTTTTTTTCAAAGCACATCAATACCAAACCAGCCCTTATTTTGCTCATTCTAAGCAACCCTTTTCATTTTTCAGATAAAATTAAATTACTTTTAAACAAGTAATGTAAACAAATAATTCATATGCATCGAACACTAATAGCTCAAATAGTTAAAAATGTGAGTTGATTTTTATATTCGAGATCAGGCTTATTTGATCATTCGAAATGGACAACATTAAGTGGCTCAAAAATCAGATTCTACTGTAATAAAATCTTCAAAATTTTAAACTGATCATCGATTTAACAATTTTATTTATTTATTTATTCATAACTAGATCATACAGAACTCTAATTATTTTAGATTTGCCATCCTATTAGAGTGAAAAAACTCTCTTTCCTAGCTAAGTTTTAGCTTTAACTAGCGAAAGTGTCTCTGCGCGATACTGCGGGTTTTAAAACCGTATAAAACATATAGAAAGTTATAAATGTATATCCGATAGGCAATACTATTTACATACATGTGGAAATCTTACAACCCTATTTACGAAAAGGAACAAAATAGCAAATAATTTTGGAAAAACCATTTATATACGGTGACTTCATATTATGCAAAATTTGTGCAGACCCATTTTAAGAATAACATATGTGATTCTTCATTGTACACATAATTAAATTGTTACCCCATTCTTCAACACTATCAATCTGTTTTTGCCAATGAACACAAACACACACAGCCAACTACAGTTTCATTGTAGAAAGTGGTTCTACAACGTTTGAATTGATGGTACACAATTCTGTGATTAGATGGGTGAAGCAAAACCGTATGCTTTTCATGCTTATCTAGGCTCAAGTGTATCCCTAATCTGTACATTATCTATGAAATCTTTGTAATTCACAATGAACATGTTCTGCGCAGGATCAGTGGTGTTGGAGAATACCAAATGGATAGAACCCCATCCCACTGCACATACACAACCCCACGAAAATCGAAAAATACTTAGAACGAAGGCATGAAAAATTTAGATTTATTTCTAGCCTTTGAATTAAATAAAATCAAGCAAAAATCAAACAACAAAATAAGCAAAAACGTGCATAAGAAAAAAAAGTGTGCAGAAATCATTTTCCTTTGAGTAAAATGAAGAAATTACATGAATTGGGCCTGAGAATTCCGTTAGAAAATGTCAAAAATCCTGCAGAATTAAGGGCCTTCTTGATTGGGATGAGCAGAGTGGACGAAATAGGCACATTGGGTGTATTTGTAGATCAAGACCTGGTGTTCTAGCTCTATCTATTGAGATGGAGAGAAAGGTCCTCTGCCTCCTGCTATACTCCATTGCATGGTTGCAGCTCCTGTTAGCCTTATTAGGTTATACAATTAAAACACAAACGAATGAGTGACTAACCTGATTCCAACGGTAGCCATGGAAGTCGAACACGAAAGGAAGTGGGCATGGCAACACCAAGATCTTCTATAAGTTCCTAGCCGAATACAACTACTCTATGGGAAGCATTATGCTGTGTGTTCTAGGGCTTATAGGGACCGGTGTTTTATATAGGCTAAAAGCTAGGGTTTCCATCCATAAAGGAAACCTAACTTACTTTATTAGCCTCCAAGTCAAGTATCATAATCATATTCAATTAAGGATTCCATCAATCCTATTTCCAGTATAAGACACCTTATATAGGATTGATATCTTTAAGAGATCAAATCACAAATAACATTATTCTTCAATATTACATTCCTATTACATATAGTAGACCACTTAAAGGTTGATTTATATTGGATAAATCCAACATTCTCCCACTTGGTCTACAAAATGTAATATTCACGTTTATACTTGAGATTGGAGACTAATGTCACTTTAGTGGCCATGTAACAGTGATTACATCTCGTCCTTAATGCAATTTCTGTCAAATGCATTTCTTAACATGGAACTAACAAGGTTGTAGGGTTGACACAACCCAGAACCTTCATAATCACACATGCTAAGATCCTCATTCACATGAAACACAAATTATGATCAAGAGATGAAACTTTAAAATTAAACTTTAAATTAACCAAAATGTCTTACTTTATATCATCTCAGGTCCACCTTATTGTAACTCACAAGTTACACTTTATGCTTCTTCGAAGCCTTAAATCTGCCAATGCAGATATCCTTCATCTAATGAAACCACTATAACCTGCAGGGGTGAATACATCTCCAAAACAATCATGCATCAGTTTCATTAGACCGATAACAATACAAACAATGTTTGTAACCAACGGACACAACTGAAAATACCAAATAGGCACATGTCCAAGTAAAATATCCCAAAACTTCATAAAACAAATTAATTCAACACTTGTGAGCAAGATGAATTAATATGTTTTTGACACTGATCTATGCACCATATCAGTTACTTTCATAGTGATTTCCAACACCTGCGGGCAAGATGGAAATCCTCACAACTGAGGCAATGCACAAATCATGTCATGCCATTTAATATGCAATTTGATAACAACTTGATATCTGATATATATTTTATCAGATTATTGACTAGCACACGAAAAATGTGACTTAATGAATCCAACTGGAGATTAAAATGAATACATGGATTATATACATACCTTATAGGTCATCTGCAACTGCAAGGCATTACTAACACAAAACTCAAACTCCCACTGATCTGCAACATCGTTACTTAATTTGCAAATCAATACTTAAATCATACTTTTGAAAATATGCCTTTGGGAGTAGCCTTACTTAGTCAATGAATGCATATTACCTCAATGAAAGGTACACTAAGCTTGAAAGCATTCACTGCTGTTTACACAAAACATGTATCCAACAACCATCTTATATGTATTAATAAGTCCACATTTATGCTAAGTCCTTATGAGCCCCAAAACAAATGATCAACTGAGAAATCCAAATGATTGGCAGTAACAGAAAAATGCACGCATATACCAAGTATACATTCGTGCAACTTAAACATATTATAGACATTCGAGTAACGCAAATTCATGGAAGATAGAATAATGCTTTAATAGATTCATGCAAGTCCACTTAATGCTCACAATTTTAGAACAACTCCCACTAAGTTTTCAGAGTTTATACTTGCAAATAAGTTAATGAGTGTGAAGCCCAATTTTCGTTCACTAATTCTCCCACTTGGGCAAACACTCTTTCAAAGATGTACCTAAATAAAATTGCTTTATATTTTAGACATAATAAAATAGATATTACAACCAACACAAAGTTGTTAAACAGAATTTCAGTAACGAGGTACACTCACTTTAGAATTAATCATAATTAATTTATATGCTTGATTGCTACAAAATTTATACTGATCAAAATAGACATACTAATCTTCATAAAATAAAAATACAGAGCCATTTTGGGTCAAAATAGTAGTCTAAAGTCACGTCTCAAAAAACATCACAATCTGCCAGTAAAAACTGTCTATACGAGCATGGGTTACTAGTAAATTCACCATAATTAACATACATGGCAGAAAATTACGAAAATTTTCAGACACATAGTAGACATTTATATGTTGAACATATCCAAAATTCAGGTCATTTGGTGATCATTAGACATGTCATTCACCCGATTTAAATCAAGACACGCAATCTGCCAGAAACAATTATGTGCATCTATCATGAATTTATATATCCATAACAAATTCAATTTCATATCATTTCAATTTCGATGTCCAAAGGAAACTTTAGTAGTCAAATTTCATCCTCTAAACCGACATCATAATTCAAATTGAAAAGATTTACAAGCATAAGACTTAAACAATGCGTACCTTAGCAATCATTGATTAACCTTCATGGATCCAACACTTTGCATCAACAAGTCTCATAAAGAGATACAAAATACATCATGATGCACCGATTTCCATGCCTTCAAACCAAAACCTTTTATGGGGCTCATTGTGGAAATATTTGTCACTGATGGCATGGAACTTTATCCCAATAAACTTCATGAAACTAAATTAATTTACACCTGTAGGCAAGAAAATTAACTAGTTTCTAGTACTAGATTTTATGTCACAAAAGTTCCTTCATGAAAAACTTCAACACCTGTAGGCAAGATGAAGGTTTTCACAACTTCTGTGAAATAAAACCCATACTATGCCATCTTAATTAAACTAAAAGAAGTAATCCACACCTGTAGGCAAGAAGATTATCCCTTTTATTCTAATTAAGATGCAAAGTTGACCGAAGTAACTCAAAAATACAGTCTCATCATCAACTAAGCCGTTGCGGCTTCCTTTAGTTGAAAAGGCATTGATCAACTCTGCCCTGAAACGATACAAGAAGTCACATGGATTAATTAACTGTAAGTGACAAAATTATGATAACCTGATTCGAGCTTCGAGTCTTGCCAACAAATGGCACTAATTCCTTCATAACTCCCTTTGACATTAAATTAATCTCAAGAAACCTGACAGCATACTTGAAAAAGATTAATCACATATAGAACAAGTTTTATTCCACCACAAGAATGTCAATACTTATCATTACAGAGTCAATTGCTTGAAATAGAAATACTTTATGTAATGCAAAAGAACAATACATTCCTTTAATTTAAAAACTAAATTGCTCAAATGTTTTCTTAAATCAAACGGGTTCCTTTTCTTTTGTACATTTCTTTCCGTAGTACAAGGCTCCTAAATCATTAGCATCAAAAGCGTGCATTAGCCTTGTAAATACCAAATTAAACAAAGGAACTACCAAAATTCTTTTCTTTCAAAAGAAACATCTCCAATACATGCCATACATTAGGCTTGTATAAGTTTCTTTTCTTCTCCCCTTATGACACATAAAAATTACTTATCAAAGTATTGTTTTAAATTCTTTAGGAATAGGAAAAACACAACAAACAATAATAAAATGTTTGAAAATTCATGCTTATTAGTTAAGCCACATACTTTGAATGAAATACATACCTCATGCCTTCATATGTTCACTACTTCTTTATAAACATATATAATCACATGACCACCATAATTCTCATATAAGAATAAATAGAATACAAATGGAGAAGTGTCACATAATTACTGCAAACCTCATTCATCTGTATAACTGTACTTTGTTTTTCTTGCCCACCGAATGCTTTCTGTCACTCTCAGTCAATCCACAAGTTATGCATCAATTTCATAGTTAACTAGTCACGTACAATTGAATGACTATACTGAGATAGGAAAGCAAAATTATAGACAAAACTAATTTGATTAGTCAAGCAAATTTCTTATGGAGTTAATATCATTATAAACCGTACTTGAATTAAATCTCCAATCATACTTAAGTACCAGCATACTGCATTACTAATCAACACATTTGTGTCTTTACATATAAGATCATCTCAAGCTTAAAGCAATATAGGACAACCCAATCCCTTTAATAAAACACGCCATATGTCAATTTTGCTCCATGCTTGCATACTTAAAATTGAATCCATATTAGATATTTCCGACAGCAACCAATGACATGGCTATTTAATTCAGTCTATATATATTTCCTACACATAATCATGTAATGCAAAAAGGAAAACAGAACCTGCAATAATCCGTGAGGCATTCGAAGGGTGGTTAGTGTCCCTTGTTGCCTGTCCACCCAGGACGCACCTCACACAGGTGTTCTCGCGTGTGGCAGTAAAACCCCCTTAAACTTGCGGCTGGAGCTTTTGATTCCAGCAAGCTCGCTCTTATGTGGCACTAACAAAATTAGCCGCGAACAAACAAGATAGATTTGACTTTTACATACTTCTTGGCATGTTTGCATATCCCAATTGCCGACACACTTATGCAATTATTTCTTGTTAAATTGGAGTATCACCTCAAGCCATTTTGTAGAGAACAAATCAGTGAATGTGTAATAGAAATTTATGGCAACCAAATTATATCATAACGGTACCTTAATTTACTGGAGTAATAATTCAAATAAATTGCAAAACCTTAAATTTATCATTGCTCTTCCTGATCGAAAAGAAGTATATTAACATATACCAGATTAAAAATTGATAATGTCAATTCTTAGTCAAACACATAAATCATGTGCCTATTTTTATACAGTTGCCAAACATAAAATAATTGGATCCATATTCATGACATACTTAACTGAAACATGGTATTCAATGTATGTACATGCTCTACAATACTTAGCACATCACTCATGCAAGTACATATTTATCTTATTACCAATTTAAGCTTTCAGGGATCAACCCAAATATATATCAGCCAAAATATCATAAACCATTATGGAAATCAAAGTCAATGAAACAAACCATTTTGCTTTGGTAGATGACTTCGTTCTGCTTGCTAATCGAAGGGACCTCTTCAGTAAGGTCAGAACAAATATAGCATGCTTACAAAAATTGAGATCATCAGTGGCACATGGTAAATCAATTCAACCAAAACACTAGCATGAAGATTGAAATAGAACAAAACTGTTATTCTTCTTAGTGCCATGATTTCCACTGTAAAATACATAATGTAATACCACGCCTTACATATATGCTTCTTTAAGTTCCTATATGATTATAGGATTCCAATTCCTATATGGTTTTTCTTAAATTTCATGCTTCAATTCCATAATGTAATTCATGCTTTGATAAAAAATAAAAAAAAATAAACGCCTCTAGCTCTAAGCATAGTCCAATTTCCAATTGGCAAGCAAAACTATGTGGTTATACGTAATACACTGCATACAATACAATATTGTGGATTCGTGCTGTAATCAGGCAACTTGTCTTGCTGATAATAATCAGGGTATCAAATTAGCATAGTTCTTAATAAATTTCCCTTGACTGCAACCATAACATTAGTGAAAAATATTATTTTTCTGTCGAATCCTCAAACTAAGGAGGTAAAGCTAATTGCATATATTACACGAATCATCCGCGAGCACTTGTCGTGAAGAGGAAGAGATAGACATGGGTATTTTTTATATGGAAGACGGAAAGCCCGAGGCTGATCTAAGAGAACCCATCAATTCCCGTAACAAAAGTTTAATAAAAGTTGTTTTCCCAGTTGAATATTGACCCAAAAGCATGACCATGGGTTTAGAATAATTATGCAACCTGATTCCAATCAACAATTGAACTTATTCAAATCGCATGGTGATGTTGCCGAGTATATGCAATGAGAATTTGGATTAAACAAGCAGTTCAAGATAATATTATATAATCCAACATTAAACCTAATAGGTTTTAATTATATAATCAGTGGCTCTGATACCAACTGTTAGCCTTATTAGGTTATACAATTAAAACACAAACGAATGAGTGACTAACCTGATTCCAACGGTAGCCATGGAAGTCGAACACGAAAGGAAGTGGGCATGGCAACACCAAGATCTTCTATAAGTTCCTAGCCGAATACAACTACTCTATGGGAAGCATTATGCTGTGTGTTCTAGGGCTTATAGGGACCGGTGTTTTATATAGGCTAAAAGCTAGGGTTTCCATCCATAAAGGAAACCTAACTTACTTTATTAGTCTCCAAGTCAAGTATCATAATCATATTCAATTAAGGATTCCATCAATCCTATTTCCAGTATAAGACACCTTATATAGGATTGATATCTTTAAGAGATCAAATCACAAATAACATTATTCTTCAATATTACATTCCTATTACATATAGTAGACCACTTAAAGGTTGATTTATATTGGATAAATCCAACAGCTCCATTACTCAAACTCCCACTATTATGCTCTGAAACACAACCAGAAATCAGAAAACCGAAAAAAAAAATATATATATATATATATATCTGAAGTTGAAAACATTTTTAAAGAAAATTAAGCAATTCAGAGCCTTTGAAATTGGCCAAAAAGGGAGAACAGAGCTTCTGCACCCATAGTGAATATATTATGTGAACGTGGTTCTTGCTCTCTTTCTCTCAACATCACGATCATGAAATCTTCGACATAATCAAGAAACAAATTTCTAAAGTCCAATTACATTAAATCACAAATTCAAAACATTTTTTTAACATGCAATTATCGAAACATAAATACATAACGGTAAATAAATCTTCACAGTTTTGGAGGAGGAGCAGAGAGGAGGAGATGTGCGACCACCATGAAGCTCCAAAAGGTTTTCTAGTAGACCGGGAAGGAAGAAATCACGGAACATATGACTTTTTGTTCAGTTTTCATAGGCTATACAAATTGTTCGAACAGAAAATTCGGGTCTTTTAACAAATATTTAACAGATAGAACTCAAAAAATTTAAGAACGAAAACAAAAGGTTCGAAATTTACTCAAACCCAACAATAACAGACGAAATTAAAATTAATTGGAGCAAGGTCAGGGTACAAATTCGAAATTCCAAAAACCAAAATTATACGCAAAACATCAAAATTCATAACACAAAGAACTCACCGAAATCGAATCGAATGGAGAGAACGAACCATTAGGATATGAGGAATGAGGCAAGGCAGGGGCTACTATGAGTGAGTTTTGGGTTGTGGATTTCAGATATCTCATTCGGGGAAAGGATGAGGATTCTAGGTTGGGGAAAGCAAGGAGCAGGGAGAAAAAGGAGGATGCTTAAAAAAAGCAAAACAATTTCTAGGGTTTGATGGAGTCTGTAGCCAGTTGGACTTGCTAGAGAGTTTTATCATCGTGCTGTCGAAGAGAAAGAACGACAGCTACGAACTCAGCAGAAAGAATGGCAACCTTGTAATAACACAAACTAAGCAAGGGTAAAATCAGAACTACACTGTGCTTATGAACAGTGTTTCGGTTGATTTTTTAGTTTTAGTATATATTGAATTTTAACTTTCTAGGGTGGAAATTTGGCTGCTTTTTGTAATAAATAAATCTTTATAGATCGTAGCTGAATTATATATGAAGAGGAAAGAAAGTTGGTTGG